AGCTTTAAAATTATAAAGTTTTTGAAGTTTTTGCACGCCATTCTGCTATCAGTATTACAGATAGCAAAACTGATGGACTATCGTGACTTTTACAATTAATTATAACTATAAAAATATGATAAATTTGTTTGCCTACGTACAATTAACATTCTTCTTTTTGTTACTCTCGGTCAATAATCCGTGCGGCTCCCAGTAACAAGTGTCATCTGTAATCTGAATGTTGTTTTTTTCACAGAATCAAAAACATTTCTGCTTTTTTTGCGTAGTTGGCTCATCCGGCTAAGCACACACTACACTCCTTGGGAGACTTTAGAAAAAGCACTGTTTGACAATACCTGTATTGGTAGGGTGTGACGCGAATTTTCTAATATGGTTCCTATACTTTATGAAAGATTATCTTTTATTAAAAAATATTTTACTAAGTCCCACTCTCGTTTAAAAATGACCATAACTTGTGCAGACATTCATTCAACTCAAGAACCCCAATTGTTTTTTGCACTCATCAAACTAGTAAAAGTGGTGTCATCAGACGCTTAGGACGTTGGGAAAGACGTTTATCTTACAGACTGTAAACTGTTTCCTATTGATTAGGAGCATATATAAACAGTATATTGCCTCTTCGGTTGTTTCACGTTAGCTAGTTCCTTTGTATCCAGACAAGGCAATAAAAGTTTCTTGAACAAAACTTTTACTCGTCGAATACAGTAGTATTAATTAAAAAATTGACTAGTTGACTACGTGCCGATAAAACAGATAAGTCAGTTCTTAAAATAACAAGGATTTTTCAGGCGCAGTTACAGCCAGTATCATCTAAATGGTGACTGTGAAATTTTCTGAAATGGAACTGTACACCATTTACGCGATGTGCGGAATTATCATGGCAGTAGACAGCGGGAGTACGGAAGCAGAATGAAACTTTATCTTTTCAAATCCCGTCTAATGGTCTCAGTCGGTTGAAATAACTCGGAAAGCATGGTTTGTTTCAAAATGACCAATAAATTCTGCCTTTCTAGTCATGAGACGTGGCAAAGTACAGCTCACTGATTCTCCAACTCATTCCCAATTTCCGTTTTAGAAACAGCAGTATTTTAGTAAAGCTGCAGAACTGACTGCAAGTAGAAAACTTTCTGGGACACATAATCAGTAATTTCTTGTACGTTGCGTAGGCGGAGTGCGTAAGGACCGCGTACGGTAAGAAAAAAACGAACAGGACGACTCTGAACGCCGTCGTGGATGCATAAAAATGTGTTTCTCCCGAACCCTCGAGTATATAGCAAGTATTTTTCTTTAATAAAAAAACTGTATATAAATGTTGTTGACAGTAGGTAGTCGTTTCATTTAAAAACTCTTCACGATCTGGAGTTTTTCAAAATTAGCGTTATAGTGAGGAACCAAATTAACATTTTCTATACTCTGTAAAAGTTTGTCTTGCATCAAGATCATTCTTCTAATGAAACATTCTTTTGCAGTTTGAATAAAGTGCCGAAAAGCTTTATATTAATGTTGTTAAGAAATTTTAGTGTTTTTAAGAAAAATGCTTTGGACCATTCAGATGCAAACAGATTTATAAGGCTCGGTCATTTGAGTTCTACTGCTTTCAAACACCTTGAAGGGCTCAATTTCATAAATTGTTAGCAGCTTTCTGAAGCGTTTCTAAGTGAAGAGTCAGCAATTGAAATCAAACAATATATTTTAGCAGAAAAAGAGGAGGATTATTGTGATCATCTTCTTGAGTAACAAGAGTTATCAGCCCTTTGAAAATAGCTATGATCATTGAAATTAAACTCTCCGCAATCCATAATTTGTAAGATACGAAAATTTTGCTGAGACTGTCTCACCAATCAGCAAACTTTTTTGAGTAATACAGAATTCCCTTTACACGTTGACAAGTAATCATTACCACATTTGAAAGTTGTAAAAGAATTTCTTTTTGAAGAAAATCTACTCAAAATTGGTAACTTGTTAAAATTTGTAATAATTTTTTAAGGCATATACTGTATTCTTACGTGTAAGTGAGAAGTTCTGCATACTGCAGCAGATGTCGTCAAAATTTTTATTATAATAAACTAAAATGAAAACAAACTGATAAGGTGAAGACTTGAAGAGCTTTTACAAAAATAGAAGTGAAAGAAATTTATTTGACGTGGAATTTTCCGCAAATGTATAAGCGAGAGAACCATCAAAGATGTCCGGTTCAAATTTCTGAATGTAGTCAATCTAAATACGTAGGTAAAATATGTTTATCAACACCAAACGCCGATACTTATTTGATGATATTCGTATGGGATCACCTAAAACCTTCACAGGAAAACTTTATGAGCGGCAATCGTTAGTCACACATGTTAACGGAAAAAACTGGAATTCTCGTAATTTATCGGTGCGCACGTAAAGTGTAGGCAAGGCAACAGTAATCGTCCTATGGAGACATGATGTAGCTTGTTTGAAAAAAAGGAAGATAGAAGCGAGCATTGTTGCGATTACGTCTTTAAAAAAACTGTAGAGTTACAAAAAACCTATAGCTTTCGATGACTCTTCTGTATTTCTTATGCTAAATATACGTAAATTAAAGAAATATGTAACAACTCAAAGAATTTTTGGTAGATCACTAGTTGTTACGCACCCGTCTTAAGTAAAGAAAGGTTCAGGCAGGCTACAGAATCTCACATGTAAAAATTTCTGTATTTAAGGTATCGATTCCTTCAAAAAACCTGGGTGAAGGAACCAAAGCAAACTTCTTTTTGAGCGTTTTATTTTTGCTCTCAGGCATTGCAACCCTTCTGGCAAAAGAGCTATTAAAAGGCAAAACGGAGTGACTAGAATCAGACAGCATTGAACTCCCGCTTCTTCATCCCTAACCAAAATCTTTTTAAAGAAATATACAAAGCCTATATAGAAGATCAAGCACTAAATCTTTTCGACCTCAAAGAATCTTCAAAATCTTACTTCCTACAAACTTCTTTCCGTCATTGCTTACCATATAATTTTTCCCACTGCATTCCAACAGAAGTTTCTATAAAAATTAAAACCCGATATTACCTGCCCTCCACCGTAACATACCACGAGATATCGTAACTTTTTACAACTTTCGATAATATCTCTCCAAATTTCTTTTGAAACGCAAGCGGAATGAGCCGTGAACATGCTCAGTAGAATGGAAGTGGAGAATCAGCTGCACGTGTTTCTTTGTTTCAACTTATTTCCTCCTTACTCTTTGATTATTTGCTTCAACTTATTTATTTTTCTGAAAATAGGATACGAAAAGGACCAGTCATTTCTGTTAAGACGAAGTCCGCATGTTTTTGTGATTCATTTGAATGTGTAGTTTTATGCAACCAATTCACGATGATAGTTCTTTTCTGGTGACCTTTCCCGCACTATGGGTTTCTGTGGCGACTAACCGACATTTCTTCAAACGGAGAGCACACTTACAATACCGCTTTTTTGGCATGTCTCGAATGACCCTCACCTTTACACAACCTTATTGTAGGTGAAGTTTCAGAGTACTAATATGGGAACTTCTTACAGGAGTGACCCGTATGCAGGTCTGATCAATAGTTACTGTTGCAATCACCAACGATTTCAAATCCCACTTTCTAAATTGCACCGAATATAACACTATTGCGTACGAACTAAAGATCGCAAAAAGGTGGAAAGGAGATAGATCACCTATAAGGCAGCTTCACGAGGCAATGGTCAGCCTGCAAAACTGTTTCATTACATAATAGTTAGCCAAACGATGTCCTAACAAAAGCGAGTTTCTTGCTGTCCCTGTTATTCATCCATTCACACTGCGTAGAAGGCATATTGCTGAAGGCTTGTCCGCAATTTAGATAAAATATTTTGTAGATTTTCATTCCCCTTTCCGTATGCTGATGCATTCACTCTATGTTATACACACTTATTTGTGTACTTTCAGTTTTGATATCTGCTGGCGTAGTAACTGACGCTCTTTACTGAACATTTTTACGTCTGAGTAATGAATAATCGCTTATGAAGCTGAGAGAAAAACGGTGAGCAGCCAAGGACTCAAATTATAAATACGGTAGGAAAATGAAGCTTGCAAACTGATTAAAGGTTTATTTACACCGTTACACCGAGGGTAAACTAGAAATTGGAATAATGAGTCAAACATGACATTTAAACAGGGAGTAACGCCTTTTAACATCCAGCTTCCACTGTAGAGCAGGCGCTCTGTAAGAAAAATCAGGAGAATAAGTAAGAAGGTGGTGTTAGCGTTAATAAAAATAAAAGCAAAGCACACCGTGATAAAGCCTTAGCCGAATACAAATAAAAAGCAGAAATAAATCTCGTGTATCCCTTGGATGATAAAGATATAGTTGGCGGTTTTGATTTTTTGGTAAAGATATAACTGAGGAAAACTTTGGAAGTAAAAATTCAAGGAGACAATGTTTTTGTCTGCTAATTTCGTTTGACCAATATTAAATTCACCGTGCAAAGCGTGAAAGTTTACAATCCAGCTCGACTGCGTAATTTGCTGAGAGGGCAGTAAGCAGTCTTGCTGCAAATAATCAGGAAAACTGGATGGTCAAGAATGGCTAATTGGTTAACCGAATGCTGCTCTGACAAGCGTAACCGCAATTAGCACATAGTGACGCAGTGGTTATATAATTAACAATCAGTAATGCGATCACGGTTTTTAGTTTTTAGAACAATATATAGTCGCCAAAGTTATAGCATTGAACTTTTTTCTCTCACAATTAGAACTTTTAACATTTCATTAAGTGGCTGTTTTTACTCACTCTTTATCGCAGATTTCACCTACGTTTTTCATTATTCGTTCATACTCTACCTAAATCTTTTATATATTCCCTCGTAGAAATTTTTTATTTTTTCTTTTCGTTTCATTTAAATAAAGGTATGACCATTCAAGTTTAAGCCTTAGTGAAACAAGGCAGAATACAGTTTAAAACCAGTCCCATATAGCAACGTCTGAATAAAACTAGTGAGAGGAAGCCAAGCCAATGTAGTTGAATGTGCCTGCCCCCAAACAGTTCTTTCACTGTTAACGTGTCTCCGTTTTCTAATATAAGGCTCTCGGATCCTCCTGATTCGTATGTGGTAGTTCTAGGATTGTCTGTATATTTTTCGCTAATATTTTAACATCCTAACGTTAAAGTAATGCAATAACTTTATGGCATTTCATAAAGCTGTCTTTCTTTCATTCAGTAGTAGTTACTTCTTATGACCTCAGTCCTAAAAATTTTGAAGGTTCAGACCTACCTCGTGCCCATTTCCTGTTTGTACCTTCCATATTTTTTGGCTATTTTTTGATTTGCCCGCAAATGCCCCACAACTACAGTGTCATAGCTGAGCACGTAGAACTCAGTGATCCACTTTACGAGTGACTGAAGTCATTCTGAAGGGCTATTTAAAACATGTGTTCGTACGTATACGCCAAAAAACCTTCCATTTCAATGATTCTCTTCCGCTTGTTAATTTAATCCTGTTGACCTACGACTAGCAACAGCTATGAAAACTACCCTGAAACATTTTAAGACCATTTTTGATAAAATGCGTGCGTCATTAAAACCATTCAGCTCTAGGCAGCGCTACAGTAGCAAAAAAACGCATAGGGAGGCAAGGTGCAACTTCCATGCTGGACTGAACTCAACTCCAAAGGGCTAAAAAACGCAACCACTGCTCATTTTATTACTTGTCAGCAAGTGATAGCTGTTTTGAAACGTTGTCCGGATTAGTAAAACTAAATCGTCAGGAAATTAGCAAGAAGTAAATTGAAAAGTCTTGAACTTCTCTGGACGAACAAGCTCGAGCACAAAAATGTTGAAGTCAAGTAACTATCTAAAAAGAGCAAGTTTGAGACCAGGCGCACTTAGATGCAACAGCACAGAAAAACCTCCAAAATTAGAGGAGAATCGACACATAAGTCAGAAAAACAAAACTTCTACCTATAATTCATCTGCAGCCTTTGCTCGCAGTTCCCGCATAAGCAATAGTTCCTTATTTCGAAGACGTACTTTCTGAAATGCCTGCAAAACCGAATTAAAATTACAGATAACAGCGAGTATCCAACACACCTGTCTGCGCACCTGCGGTCATTGTTAAGTAACAGTGAAAAGAAACTGTTGGGGATAAAGACTATATGGAAATCTGCCAACACCGTAACTTCGTTCGTATCAGGACTATTAAAGGGAAGACATACAGAAAAATTAAGTGTGCTAAGTCGGAATTCGTAAAGTATCCATCTATATATATATATATAGGAGTGGATGAAAGCGCTAGAGTTTATAATCTGATACCGATGAATACATGCATTAATTTTTTTTAGTTCCAATTCCAGGTATAGGATGGAACAACCACTTGAGGTAATGCCCAGTATCAGCGTAATTATAAAATTTTAAATTGGAACCTGATATAATTATTGTTTAATGGTTTATTAGTTTGCCGTCGTCGTATGAAATTTTGCTAAATATTTGGTTCCTCTTTATTTTTAGCTCTTGTTAACTGCTTGTCAGTCGAAAGATCCGTTTTCTGTTGTGGCTGTTGATCCAAAAACGTGCGTGGCTTGTTGGTCTTATAAGGGTAACGAACTTCAAGGAGCTGAACTAGGCGAGCTTCTATTTATTTATTTTTTTAACGCTTGATTTAAATGAGGTGTTTGTTTTTTTTTTTTTTTAAACAATACTTTTGAACTAGGTGCTTGAGTAAAGGATTGTTTTTGAAAAAATACCAGAATGGGTGCAATAATGTTTGAAGCTAATTTTCTTCACGTTTTTGTGGATGATTTTTTGAAAGGTTTTAAAAGTGATCTTACCATTTTCAAAGTTTAGGTTGTGTGGAAGCTGTTGGAAGTCACGGTGACCTATTGTTATTAGTTGTGAAAGACCAACCATTAGCACACATTGTTGCGGTGAACAGGAGAGATCGTTTTCATGTTAAAAGTTTATTGACAAAGCCTTTACGGTGCGTTGCTGTAACAAAGGATGGCGCAGTTATTTTTGGTTGCTCAGAGTCGAGGATTTTCTGTTGGATGGTGGGCAAGTTTTAGCCTTTTTTTTTTCTGAGAGTGCTTTGAACAATTTGCACCTGACCATTTCTACTTTGATGATTACATGGTTGCCAAAAATTTTAGGTTGCTTCAGGAAGCCTTGTATCGGTAATTGAGGCTCATTATCAAGAAATCTTGTGTTTATCTTTGTCCTCTGACGATGGACTTTTGATTTCTGGTGCAGCAGATGGAACAGTAAATGTTTACGTGGTTCCAGAGTGAGATCTCTGTTGTTCGTATTATGAAAGTTATTTCTGAAATATCACTTTTTTCTTACTTGCCGCCAATCATTGTTGCTGCAAGAGGAGTGGAACTGACATGTCTGATAAAATAAATCTCAAGTAGTAGTGAACAAAACCTTTCAGCAGCTCTACGGTAACATATTACTGTGGTTAAACACCTACTGTAAGTCTGAGTTTCATATGAGAATTAAGCTTTGTTTAGTGCTTTTAAATGAGGAATA